GAAGCCCCTGCTGGACGTGTTTGAGGGCGCGGGTGGTACGGCAGTGCCAAACCCTGAGTTGGAGAGGGCAGCGGCCCGGTGCTACGATTTCCAGGTCAGTCGTTGGGGGGGATGGAGGGAAGGGTTTTGGGGGGTGGGTGGGTTTGCCGTGTCCTGTACGACCTTTTGACAAAATGTGTCTCGGCATCTGTGTGCGTGTGTGTTTTGCTTGTGTTTTGTTAAAGTGCTCGACACCACGTTGAGGCTTTTTGAACCTGTTGTGGGATGAGATGGTGCGTTTGGTGAGATACTTTTTCCATCTAAAGATTTTGCCAACCCTAGGTGAGAGTTGTGCGTCCTGGGTGGGGGGTGAGGGGTGTACGTGCTCCGCTTCATTTCGCCGCGTTACCTCACTGCGTGATGTGTCGTACTGTGTCGTACATCGGACATTGTAGTTCTACAAACACCAACTAGTATTTGTTAGCTTATCTTTGCCGCACCCTGTGGTACCATCCGACACCGCAGGTGACATGCGCCAGGCTGCGGCTGAGCTCCCCCCTGGGTAACCCCAAGGGCGGCTTCGTGCTCACATTCCGTCCCGCCGCGCGCGAGGGGATGGACGAGAGTGTGGTGCCGATTGGCATTCCCGCCTTTCTCAGGTGAGTGGGGGGTGAGGCTGTGTATGTACGTATGTATGTAGTGTGCGTGCGTGCGATGATGGGTTTTAAGGGTTTTTTGGATGTTGCAACGAAGCCAACAGAGGTGGGATACGTGGGCCCCGCGAGGTGGTTGGGGGGCAGGTGGGGGGAACTGTCAGTTCCGTTTTGACCGTTGCTACTGCTGTTGGCTGCTCCTGCTGTTGCGCCGGGTAATTGTAACCAAGATGGTTTTCCCCGCAGCGGTCACTGCCGGCGTTACGGCATTCGTTGACCCGTTGCTTGGGCCGCTTATTCAGAGGTCGTCCCTAGAGCCTTTTTGGGATTTGAGTCTTTTTTCCGTCTTGGCTCCTTCTTCCCCCCCGTCGCTGAATTGTGTCACACCAATATCCACCACCAATATCTAAGCCCCTGTGTGTGTATATATATATATTACGACTTTACCGCCGTACCGCTCCGTGTTGCCGTACCGCTCTGTGTTGCAGGCCGGTCCCTGACGCTGATGGCCGCGGCGATGGCGAGGCGGTGCCGAGCTCTTCCGCCCGCAGATTCTACTTTATGAGTGTAGACCTCGCCGGGAAGGCACTGTCGTCCCGGGCAAGGTGGGGGCTGCGGGGCCGGAGGCTGTATGCTGCGTAGCTGGGGGTTGGTGGAGGGTGTGGGGGGGTGTGGGACGGGGAGGGAGAGGAAAGGCAGCTGCCGACTGGAACACCAGGGAATGTCGCAGGGGGGGAGGGGCGGGTGTGTCGGGTGCTGTTGTAGCCCGATATTGCATTACTTTCGTAGGGTACTTCCTCCTCATATCATTTATGTATTAGTCCTTGATATTATTTATATTATTTGGTTGTACATTTTAGGTTTTGCATGTTGCACTGGTCATTAGCGGGCAAAATTTGGCGACGGCACATTTTTCATTTCCTGCAAAGTGTGGTTTTCGCCTCACCTCACCCGCCGCACATCCCGCATATGACGTGGACGACGTCATCGCCACCGCCGCCGCGCGCTGCTACATTCCTGCTGCAACCGACAACCGACACCGACCGCCCCAACAACCACAAAACGTCAACTACCAACCGTCAACTACCACAGCTCTGTGCTCTCCGCCGCGAGTTCTACTTGGACCAACGGTGGCTCAGAGATTGTGGAGGTATGTATGTCGTACCACTCGCTGAAACACGTGTTTTTCTGGCATCTTTTCTGGCATATCTTAGGGAGTCGTGGACTGTTGTGTCTGTCATTAGAGGGCAAGGGAGGGGGCGAGGTAGGTAGGTTGGTAAACAATATTATTTTGGAATGAATGATGTTGGAACTTCAACCAACCGTGTGTGCGTGTGTCTGTGTGTGAAGGTTACAAGTATCTATCTGACCGGGCCTGACGACACTGGCCACAGAGGGGCTGCTGCCCAGCCCCAACGGAAAGACCGCCTAAGCTCTCTCCTGGAGAAGACGGTTCTCCCGCGGACGGGAGAGGGGCGCTAGAGGGGCCTCTGCCACCACCCGACCGCCCTCTCTCCCGTCCGTGTCCCTCTCTGTGACTGTGTGTGTGTGTATTACTCCCTCTTCTCCTCTTCCCCTCCCCCTCCTGTCAGTGTCTTTACATATACCTCCACATTATTGGTCTAATCTTGGGATTATCCGTCTATGGCAGCTTCTCTTCGTCAATCGCCTGTGCTTCGTCGTACCCCGCCCTCTCCCCACTCGTCCTTTCAGGGCCTGGAGCTGGGCCACCTGCTGGGGAAGGGCTCCTTCGGATCGGTCTACTACGGCACCTGGCTGGGGACACCGGTGGCAGTCAAGGTGAGCTCAGGGGGAGGGGGGAAGATCAACCGCGAGCGCGGACGGCGGGCTGCTGTGTAGGTGTGCGTGCGTGTGTATGCGCGTGTGTGCAGCGTTTGCCTGACCCAATCCGACTCAAAATATCCAAGCATGACTTTTTTGATGTCGCCGACTGTTGGTGGTTTGGGCGTTGACACTGGAATCCGTGCTGCTGGCTCATTAGCATTGTCGTATGATTGTCTCCATCCCACCCCGCTTTTAACCTCCCCTTCTACAGGTGATGGATACGGATGTACGGTCGGCCCTGGCTCGAGGTGGTTCCGGAGCTGCCGAGGCCATTTTGGGTCAACAGCTCCGTCACCCCAATGTTGTCGCAACGCTGAAGTGGGTGGCACGGAAGGTGAGGTTTTGGAAAGACACGGGCGGGGCGGCGGGGGAGGGGCGGGGGGGCGCCAGAAGGGGGAGAAAAGGGGATGGAGAGATAGAGAGGGAGAGAGGAAGAGCAGATGTGGAGGCCATGATGGCGGATACAGGCATGGACCGAGAAAACCGTATTTGATTACGGAACGAATCCTAGTGTGTGCGTGCTTGCGTGCGTGCTTATACCTAGACCTTCAAAAATGAAATTTGTGTCCTTAATGCCCCCTTCCAACCGCCCCCTCCACGTTCCAACCGCAGCTGGACCGACCCAACGTCAACACCTCCATCATGGCCAGTTTTGATACGGACGGCATGCCACGAACCGAGGTGAGTGACAAGGGGGGTAGGGAAAGCTCCATGCAGCAGCCGCGACCCGTGGGCCAGTAGGGCCAGTAGTTGACATTTCGCAGCTATAACATCTTTGCCAGTTGTCGACAGTTCTTCAGTGCCTTGGTTGCACTCGGGACAATGGCGGCTAACTCGATAAAGGATACATGTAGTACCATTTTTGTAGAGACCATATTTTGGTGAACGATACCCACAGCATCACTACAAGGCTTCCAAACTGCTTTTCAAACTGCTTCTCAAACTGCTTCTCAAACTGCTTTTCAAACTGCTTCTCAAACTGCTTTCCAAACTGCTTTCCAAACTGCTTTTCAAACTGCTTTTCAAACTGCTTTTCAAACTGCTTTTCAAACTGCTTTTCAAACTGCTTTTCAAACTGCTTTTCAAACTGCTTTTCAAACTGCTTTTCAAACTGCTTCTCAAACTGCTTCTCAAACTGCTTCTCAAACTGCTTTTCAAACTGCCTTCCTTCTCAAACTGCTTTTCAAATCTCCTCAGAGTGCCACTACAACGCCCAATCCGAAGAAGGGCCTTATCATAACGGAGGGCACCTCTACCAGTACGGCACATGTGGGTCCCTCCCGAACCGACCCCGCCGCGGAAGAGCAGCTTAAGAATGCCCGGAGCAACCACCAGCAGCAGACGCAGCAGCAGCAGTCGGAGGCGGCGGGGGCCCCTCCGGAGGAGTGCTGGCCTGTTATCAACTTTCAAGAGGTCCAGTTGCACCAGCTGGAGGAGGAGCCGGGCACGGCAGGTATGAAAGATCAGTACGGGATTGGTACGGCATTGGTACGGGATTGGTACGGGATAAAAGGGAACTGGCTACTGGAAGTCTTTGCGCGTATCTATGTAATCCGAGATGTAATAATGGCAAGATCTTTCAGCGCTATAATATAGCTATTCCCGCCACTGCCATTAAAAGTGAACCTTAAAGTCGCCGTGTGTGTGCGGGCTTTTTGCCGCGTCTGTATATACGCGTGTATCGTACTCGCGCGTCAGTGTGCAACAAAACGGGTATTGTTTTCAACTCCCTGCACACCGTCACCTCTCCATTTCCCTAATTCTCTCGAGCTGAACATCCTCCGCCCCGCCTTGCCTTGCCTTGCCCTGCCTTGCCTTGTCTTTATTATCCCTTTTCCAGAGGGTTTCACCATCCCTCCCCCACCCCCTGCTTTCGCTGACTTTGGCATATGACCCCCACACCGCCCCACCACACACACACCAACACTAACACACAATACGCACCGTCAAGCTGCTTCGTGTGCGTGTCTGTCTATGGTGTCTTATGTGTGTGTCCATGGTGTGTAACTATGTGTGTGTGTGTGTGCAGTTTCCAACACCGTCTCGACTGACTGGCCCGCATTGCAGCCCAGTGGCGGAGCTAACACGCAGAGCGGCAAGGTGCGGTTGGGGGGCTGGGGGGTAGAGGGTGGGGTTGGGGCGGGGGAAGGTAGAGAGTGCGTGACCATACACACACATACATACGTAGATACTGACCGGAGGTTCCCCTATCCCAACCCCTGACCTCACCTCGCAAGCCTCACCCCTATTTCTAGAAGTTTCCATGCATCTATGGTATCAGCTTCACTCGTCTGCGGTTCGTCTTGCACCCCTTCCCCTTCCCCCGCAATTTCCTTTTGGTCAGTTCTACTCCTGGTGCGCTCTTGCCTTGGCAGCAACTCCACTCGTTCGTGGTTCGTTTTTCCCCTCACTTTCCCCCGTACACAGAACGTGGCGACCCCGCCGGTTCGCGGCGGCTCGGAGGCGGCCAACAGCGCGTTCCGTACTCGCAATAGCGAGGACGCGGGCGTATCGGGATCCAATATGATCCAAACTTGGATCCTGCTGGAGTTTTGCGATAAGGGCTGCTTGCAGGAGGCCATTGACCGCGGCTGGTTGAGGACGGAGCGCTCGGCACTGTCCGGGGGTCCGAACTTGGCGGCGGTGTTGGCGACGGCACGGGAGGTGGCGTCAGCGCTGGCGTACCTGCACGCCGCCAATGTCGTACACGGCGACCTGTCGGGATGGAATGTGATGCTGTGCTCGTCCGGGCCAGCGGCGGCGGAGGGCGGGAGGGGCTTCGTGGCCAAGGTGGCTGACTTTGGGCTGAGTCGTACATTGGAGATCCGGTCAAAGATGCAGACCGCCAACTACGGCACGGTACGACAGCATTTGGGGACTGTTCTGTCAGGCGTCAACAACGATTGTTCCCTTGGGAAAATGGTTTTTTGATTATTATTTTCATTTCCCCTCTTCTCTCTCTCTTTTTCCTTTTTTTCGCTTATTTTTCCCCCGCTTATATCATATCCCCCCTTTCCTTGATATTGTCTTTTGGCGTGGTGTCCATTATTCGCCTACTTGTGGCATGCTTGTGCTCTCTGCCTTTCTTTTCCCTTTTTTAAATCCTGGAATCTCTTCCCTTGCTCCGTACCCGCCCTCTGTACTTACGTCCGTACAGCTGTCGCACATGCCTCCGGAGCTCGTCCTGCACGGCACCGTGAGCCGTGCTGTGGACGTGTACTCGTTTGGTGTTCTGCTGTGGCAGATGTACACCGGGTCGCGGCCCTGGGCGGGTTTGACACACAGCCAGATTATTATGCTGATTGGCTCTGGGGTGAGTGTGGAAGATGTGGGGGGCCGGCGGGTTGGCGGGTTTGGTTAAGCCGTTGGGGTTGGGGTTTGGGGTTTTCTTCGACTTTTATTAGATTTAGAGGTATTTGTGCCGTGCTTGTCGTTCTCGATAATTTTGTTTGTTTACTTTAATTTCTGCCTTCCATTGACTGGACGAGCAAGCATAGTAAGATGAGACACACGTTACTATGCCTGCATGTCTCTCTTTTCACTGCTTTCACAATGAGATCTTACATTGCATACACACTACCACCAGCACATCTCTACTCCTCCTAACCTAGCCTTAAGGACGCGCCAATCAATTTGAAAAGTTCCTCTGTAAACATGTCCGTCACTGCATCGCCGGCAGCCACTCAGTCATTCAACTTCCGCATCCCCTCCGCCACGCCGCCCTTTGTTTGGGAGCAGGAGGCGCGGCTCGTTTTCCCGCCCAACACGCCCCGCGAGTACGAGTCCCTCATGCGGGCGTGTACGGATCGCGATCCTGAGCAGCGGCCTCCTTTCACCCAGGTGGTCAAGACTCTGGAGGAGATGCAGGAGACATTGAAGATGCAGGGCTGGCTGGACTGAGAAACAAAGGCGTGGGGGGGACGAGGAGGGGATGAGGAGGAGGAGGAGGAGGGGGGGAGATGAGGGGGGTGGAGCACAAGGGGTGGGACTGACAAAGAGGAGGAGGAGGAGGGGGAGGAGAACAGATGGATGAACGGACAAGAGTATCCGCCGACCGACGCGGGGTTGGGTGGGGAGGATGTGGGCGTGGGGGCCGTGCTGAGGGAGGCCTGGGGGTGCCGTGCATGTGTGTGTGTTTTGTATGTATGCGTGTGGGAGGGCTGATATTTGGGGGGCGGAAAAGGAGGAGCTGCAGTTGGGTTTGCGACGGGGCCCGTGGGGGGATGGATAGATGGATTAATGGGGGAGAGGAGGAGGAGGAGAAGGGGAAGAGGAGGCACAAATGATTGCGGAGTCGGCTGTTGGGAGTAAGCTGGGATTGGGCCCGGAGCAGCGACCCATGCGCGCATCCGCATACACAAAGTATGTGCGCACGCAACCCACCCTTGGCCCCCCCCCCAGCTCTGCCGACATCTCTCTCTCTCCTCTCACCCCCTGACGACTTGCTGTCCCCTTTTCCGCTCTTCTCGCACATCCCCTCGCCGCCACCAACCTTTCATTCAGTTCCGTGTCGTGGGGTACACCTTTCGGCTTACTGCAGGTCGTGCATCGCATGGCATCGCACCGCAGACGTTTATAGTTTGCTTTTGGCACTTACCGATCCAGCTAACTCAGGGGAAAGGGTTTGCGCCCCTTGCCAAAGGATAATATCAGCAATAGGATATTATCGCGGAAATGCTTTCTTGCTGTTGGTAGGTGTCGCTTCTCCTTGAGATAGGGAAGAAAAGTAAGGGCTTAAGCTGAGGCGGAAATTAAGCTCAGTTGCTTCTTTGTGAATAAGAGGACGGAGGGAGGGAAGGAGCACACAGAGAAGAAAAGAGGATGTGAATGTGTGAATGTGGAGCTGCGAACCCGCTGTCATGTGTGGCGTGTTCGCGTGCGGTGACTGGTTGGTGGGGGATTTTTTTTTGGATTACATTGTTTGTTATGAA